CACACCCCACCACAACAAATACCCCACCACAAATATCACCCCACCACAAATATCACCCACCACAAATACCACCCACCACAAATATACCCCACCACCCCCCACCACAAATACCACCCCACCACAATATCACCCCACCACAAATATCACCCCACCACAAATATCACCCCACCACAAATACCACCCACCACAAATATCACCCCACCACAAATACCACCCACACAAATATCACCCCACCACAAATACCACCCCACCACAAATATCACCCCACCACAAATATCACCCCACCACAAATATCCCCCACCACAAATATCACCCCACCACAAATATCACCCACCACAAAATACCCCCCACCCAAATATCACCCCACCACACCCACCCACCACAAATATACCACCCCACCACCACCCCACCACAATATACCCCCACCCCCACCACAAATATCACCCACCACCACCCCACCACAATACCACCCCCACCACAAATATCACCCCACCACAAATATCACCCACCACAAATACCCCCCACCACAAATACCACCCCACCACAAATATCACCCCACCACAAATACCACCCCACCACAAATATCACCCCACCACAATACCACCCCCACCACAAATATCACCCACCACAAATATCACCCCACCACAAAATCACCCCACCACAAATATCACCCACCACAAATATCACCCCACCCCACCACCAAATATCACCCCACCACAAATACCCCCCCACCACAAATACACCCACCACAAATACCACCCCACCACAAATATCACCCCACCACAAAATATCACCCCACCACAAATACAAATATCACCCCACCACAAATATCACCCCACCACAAATACCCCACCCCCACCACAAATACCACCCACCACCACCCCACCACAATATCACCCCACCACAAATACCACAAATATCACCCACCACAAATATCCCCCCCCCACCACAAATATCACCCCACCACAAATACCCCACCCCCACCACCACAAATACCACCCCCCCCACCCCCACCAATATCACCCCACCACAAATATCACCCACCACAAATACCACCCACCACAAAATACCACCCACCACAAATATCACCCCACCACAAATACCACCCCACCACAAATATCACCCACCACAAATATCACCCCACCCCACACCCACAAATACCACCCACCACAAATATCACCCCCCACCACAAATACCCCCCACCACAAATATCACCACCACAAATACCCCCCCCCAAATACCCCCAACCACAAATATCACCCCACCACAAATACACCCCACCCCACCACAAAATATCAAATACCCCACCACAAATATCACCCCACCACAAATATCACCCCACCACAAATATCACCCCACCACAAATATCACCCCACCACAAATATCACCCCACCACAAATACCACCCACCACAAATATCACCCCACCACAAATACCACCCCACCACAAATACCCACCCCACCACAAATACCACCCCACCACAAATATCACCCCACCACACCCCACCACAAATACCACCCACCACAAATATCACCCCACCACAAATACCCCCCACCACAATATCACCCCACCATCACCACCCACCACCACAAATATCACCCCACCACAAATACCACCCCACCACAAATATCACCCCACCACAAATACACCCCACCACAAATATCACCCCACCACAAATATCACCCCACCACAAATATCACCCCACCACAAATCACCCCACCACCACATATCACCCACCACAAATACCACCCCACCACAAATACACCCCACCACAAATATCACCCCACCACAAATACCGTCTCGCGAAAATAGTAGCGTCTCGCGAAAATCAAATACTGTCCCGTTTTCTGTTTTGGGTCCTCTGGTAGCTTAGGATAAGGGCACTTTAGTACAACAGTTTCCTGACGTTGGGAAACCTTGACGTTGGGTTATATATCTTAGGGTTAGGGTTATTATATATATATATATCTTCGGGTTATATAGTCAGCTGTGTCCTCCTGTGTGCTTATTTGCTGGAGTTTATTTTGACTGACAATTGGGATTTTATTTTAGTTTAATTAATTCAGAGGATTGAAGGTACTCATGGAGGGGCCTGACAGCTGAGTGAACAGTACTTGGGATTCGTAGACCTAGGGTTCTGGGTTCGACCCCCGGTGGAGGTAGAAACAAATGGGCAGAGTTACTTTCACCCTGATGTCCCTTGTTCACCTAGCAGTAAATAGGTGCCTGGGAGTTAGACAGCTGCTACGGGCTGCTTCCTAGGTGTGTGTAACAAAAAGGAGGCTTGGTCGAGGACCGGGCCGCGGGACGCTAAGCCCCGAAATCATCTCAACATGATACTCAATCATTAAAGTCAAGTATGGCTTTGAGACTTCAGTAGGATCAGTGAAATTAGTCGCAGTGACTTGTAGCATATTTAGGCTACAGATCACTGATTATCCACTTAGGCCCCAGGAGCACATCTTGGCTTTAAATGATGATATCAAGATCAATCTCTATTGATATAGTCAGCTGTATTCTTCTTGGTATATTTTTACTGGAGATTTATATTTAACTGTTGAATCTGAATTTCCATTTGAAGTGCTTGTCTGCAGGCATAGGCAATTTCAGGCTTAATATTGTGCCTGTGAGCAACTTGCCTTCAGCTGACTTCAACAAGTTCATTCCCTGTTGTTTAGAGTGTCTAGTAATGAACTTATGGTAATAGTCTGTACCTACAAGTATTCCAATATCAGTTAGGTGATAAACGTTATTTTGTTGTCAGCCCACTTGATTCCCTTTCTTTGTCGATTTGTTGAGATGGCATTTTGTCGAATACTATGGCCTGTACAGGTCGGACATAACCGCCTAAACGTACTAGTGGTTGGACCACTTTGTAGTCTTGGGGTCCTGTGTTTGTCAGGACTCTGGTATATTTAATTTTACTTGAGTTACAGGCTTTAATTTTAATTCATCTGCCACCTTCTGTGTGACATGATTTTTGGGACCCGAGGTCAAATAACCTGCGGGTGTTCACCTTGGCCCTTGTTTAATGATAAGTTGGGCAGTAGTCAAAGTTACGTTATTGCTTGGCCTCTGTTGATAGGACACTTATATCCATAATGGTAGTGGAAGTCTCTTCCTATGCTTTGACTTTGGGGAGACATTTGTTTTATGTCCCCACACAGTACGGATTAGTGCTGCCCTTATTGTTCTTGTTGCAGGGGCACAGTTTGGTTGCACAGGCATTGGTATCATGAGACCAGAAGCACCTAGTCACATGGACCCATCATATCACGTATGCTCAATCCTCGTTGACCATGAGGCTGGTGGTGTCATGGTGCATCATGTGAGAACCAGTTGTAATGCTACCAATATTTCTTTCCTCTCAATTTCACCTGCCAAGTGGTTGCAAGGTAATAAAACAGTAACACATATATGACATATGTCAAGAGGAAAGTTATTAAATATAAGTAGATTCTTACCCGTTCCAGGTGGCTATTCCTGCAACCTAACCAGTTAACATTAATTAACATAAATGACCAAATATGACATATTATACATGTTAACCAGGACCGGTGTACGCCCCAATGTTTAGCATACTCTTGCTGATGGTTAAAGACTCTGACGTCGATTTTATAAGGAATGCTTTGAAACCCAAATCTCTTTGTAAGGTTAACAAAGGTAATTATGGTTAGTATTTATTTAACATGTAACAGCAATTATTTCTTAGCATATCCTGTTAAGTGTTAGTAATTGGTGTGGGAATTTCCGACACGCTCGGCTTAATCTGTTTTCTGGTAGATGTTGATTAGTTCCTCACCTACTTTATTTTTCCAACAGAAAATTAAGTTTTTCTTAAGTTCTTAGCTGTGTTCTTCATGCTAGAGCTATATGGAGCGACCAAGCTCGTCTAAGTAGTGATCTCCTGCTGCCTAGTGGTGTCAGTCTTGAAGAAATTTGGTTTTGACAACTTTTAAATCTTCACCCAGGAACCAATTAGCGTATCCTACTATATTGAGTTGATATATTTTATAACTATTGCTGTACCGCTGAGGACTACAGATTCGCAATACTTTTAATAAAGACCTGCAGCAACACTACTTTTTACTTTTTACTTTCTTGGGGGATGATTGGTAAAGTAATGGAGATAGATTTGTGATATTATACATATCACTACATACAAAATAGTAACAGGAATTGATAAAATCAATAAGGAAGATTTCCTGAGACCTGGAACTTTAAGAACAAGAGGTCATAGATTTAAACTAGCTGGTCGGCCGAGCGGACAGCACGCTGGACTTGTGATCCTGTGGTCCCGGGTTCGATCCCAGGCGCCGGCGAGAAACAATGGGCAGAGTTTCTTTCACCCTATGCCCCTGTTACCTAGCAGTAAAATAGGTACCTGGGTGTTAGTCAGCTGTCACGGGCTGCTTCCTGGGGGTGGAGGCCTGGTCGAGGACCGGACCGCGGGGACACTAAAAAGCCCCGAAATCATCTCAAGATAACCTCAAGATACGATAGCTAAACACAGATGCCGAAGAAATATAAGAAAATTCACTTTCGCAAACAGAGTGGTAGACGGTTGGAACAAGTTAGGTGAGAAGGTGGTGGAGGCCAAGACCGTCAGTAGTTTCAAAGCGTTATATGACAGAGTGTTGGGAAGACGGGACACCACGAGCGTAGCTCTCATCCTGTAACTACACTTAGGTAATTACACACACACACACACACACACACACACACACACACACACACCAGGTGGGATACCAGACACAGCCCCGGTCTGTGTAACTGGAATTGTATCCCTTTTACAGTCAGCCTTTTGTCTCTTTGTTTCTGTCATCCTCATACCTTTACCAAGTGCTATATAGTCAAACTGGTTTCTGCTTTCATCTCATACCGTTCCTGATTCATGGATTCAACGATAACTCACCAAGTTTGAATATATTGTTATATTTTTATGGGGAAATAGTACCTTTTCTGTTGTTGCATCAACACCTCATGTCTAATTACCTGGCCACTCCACAAGTGGTTACCACCAACAACTAATTTGTTGTTATGAAGACAGAAACCGCCTGATGGCAGCACCTGGTTTGCCTGACACAGCAGCTTGTTGAGCAGCACAGTCGCCCTCTGGTGACCCACCTGAAGCTCCTCCTGTGGACACCAATATACGAGTAAATAAGTATATATTGACCTGAAAACAACATGTTGTATATTTGCTTAACGTAAACCATTACATAACCAATTTACATATAAACACACACACACACACACACACACACACACACACACACACACACACACACACACACACACACACACACACACACACACACACACACACATACATGGAGGACCAGATACATGGAGAGCTAAGCTGCTGAACGCGGCAACAAGAAACTTTGTAAGTCAACACATCAAGGGACCGACAAGAATGAGAGGGGAAGATGAACCAGCCATGCTTGATCTGATATTTACCCAAAATGAGTGGGATATAAGGGAAGTTAAGATGGAAGCACCCTTGGGAATGAGTGATCACAGTGTATTGATAATTAAGTACTTGGTAGAGTTAGGACTTATCTCCCCAAAAAAGAACTAGGAAACAAGAGACTGGCATACCGAAAGGGGAATTATGAGGGGATGAGAAGTTTCCTAAAGGATGTACCATGGGACACAGACCTCAAAGCTCAGTCTGTACAAGACATGATGGACTATGTCACCCAAAAGTGTCAGGAGGCAGTAAACAGGTTTATCCCGGCTCAAAAGGAAAAATCCGAGAAGCAAAAGAAGAATCCATGGTATAATAGGGCATGTATGGAAGCAAAGGAACTGAACAAAAGGGCGTGGAGGAACTTTCGAAATAACAGAACACCAGAAAGCAGAGACACATACCAGAGCACCAGGAAGGAGTATGTTAGTGTGAGAAGGGAAGCAGAGAAAAACTATGAAAATGATATAGCAAGCAAAGCCAAGACCGAACCAAAGTTACTCCACAGTCACATCAGGAGGAAATCAACAGTGAAAGAACAGGTAATGAAACTTAGAACAGGCGAGGACAGGTATACAGAGAATGACAAAGAGGTGTGTGAAGAACTCAACAGGAGGTTCCAGGAGATCTTCACAATAGAACAAGGTGAGGTCACTGCACTTGGAGAGGGGGCAGTAAACCAGGCGGCCTTGGAAGGGTTCGAAATTACGAGAGAGGAGGTCAAGAGACACCTGTTGGATCTAGATGTGAGAAAGGCTGTTGGTCCAGATGGGATCTCACCATGGGTATTGAAAGAGTGTGCAGAGGCACTCTGCTTGCCACTCTTCATAGTGTATAGTAGGTCACTGGAGACGGGAGACCTACCAGAAGTATGGAAGACAGCTAATGTGGTCACAATATACAAAACGGGTGACAGACAATACGCATTGAACCATAACCAGTGTCCATAACTTGTATACCATGCAAGGTGATGGAGAAGATCGTGAGAAAAAATCTAGTAACACATTTGGAGAGAAGGGACTTCGTGACAAATCGCCAGGGAGGGTAAATCTTGCCTTACAGGCGTGATAGAATTCTACGACCAGGTGACAAAGATTAGGCAAGAAAGAGAAAGATGGGAGGATTGCATTTTTTTGGACTGTCGGAAAGCCTTTGACACAGTTCCCCATAAGAGGCTGGTACATAAGCTGGGAAGATAGGCAGGAGTAACTGGTAAATTGCTCCAGTGGATAAGGGAATACCTAAGCAATAGGAAGCAGAGAGTTACAGTGAGGAGTGAGACCTCAGATTGGCGTGAAGTCACCAGTGGAGTCCCACAGGGCTCTATACTAGGTCCTATTCTGTTTCTGATATACGTAAACGATCTCCCGGAGGGTATAGACTCATTGCTCTCAATGTTTGCTGACGATGCCAAAATTATGAGAAGGATTAAGACAGAGGATTGCTTGAGGCTTTAAGACGACCTAGACAAACTGAAGGAATGGTTGAACAAAATGGTTGTTAGAGTTTAACCCAAGCAAATGTAATATAATGAAGGTAGGTGTAGGGAGCAGGAGGCCAGTTACAAGGTATCATTTGGGAGATGGAATTCTTCAAGAGTCAGAGTGAGAGAAGGATCTGGGGGTTGATATCACGCCTGACCTGTCCCCTGAAGCCAATATCAAGAGGATAACATCAGCAGCATATGCCAGCTTGGCTAACATAAGAACGGCATTTAGACACTTGTGTAAGGAATCATTCAGAACTCTTTATACCACCAATGTCTGTAGTAGACCAATCCTCGAGTATGCAGCCCAAGCATGGAGTCCATATCTAGTCAAGCATACGACTAAACTGGAAAAGGTTCAAAGGTTTGCCACCAGACTAGTACCCGAGCTGAGAGGTATGACCTACGAGGAGAGACTACGGGAATTAGACCTCACGTCGCTGGAAAACAGAAGAGTTAGAGGGGACATGATTACCACATGCAAGATTCTCAGAGGAATTTATAGGGTAGGTTGAGATAGACTATTTAACACAAGAGGCACACGCACTAGGGGACACAGGTGGAAATTGAGTGCCCAAATGAGCCATAGAGACGTTAGAAAGAATTTTTTCAGTGTCATAGTAGTAGACAAATGGAATGCATTAGGAAGTGAGTGTGGTGGAGGCTGACTCCATACACAGCTTTAAGTGTAGATATGATAGAGCCCCAATATCAGGAACTTGTGCTCAGGAACTTGTGGGGACCATTAGTTGATTGACTGTTATATCGGTAGTATATATATATATATATATATATATATATATATATATATATATATATATATATATATATATATATATATATATATATATATAGCCTACTATGCAAGGCCCGATTTGCCTAGGCCAATGAATTAATATATTTTCTCTAATTTTTTTCTTATGAAATGATTACCATCAAAGATATATGACAGCGTTCGTCGGTGTAATATGCATAGTAGGCCATTGTAATAGTCACCCCAGAAGTGACTCGAACCAAACAGGAACACTACCCTTGTTGTAATAACCCTTAACCCTACGTCTCTCTACTCTTTCCCTCTTCACTCCATACCCCAGCTTAACACTGTTATAGTCCAGTATGACCCCTCACTGGACTGCCACGAATATAAGATGAATATTAAATGAGGAAGACACAATAAGAATAGGGGTTATTATTTTATAATTAATAATAAAATCATTAAAACACTGCCACCACTTTCCCAAACATAAATGAATGTGTCTAAATTATTTGTTTCCCCAGGAAGAAAAGGACTCAATAATCATGGAACTCAAAGAGGCAAGTAAATAAATCTTAATGGATTAATACTGTAATCTTACTGAACTGAAAGGGGGATTCAAGAGCGACTTTAATATTCGTAAGATGGAGGAGAACACAGGAACTTTCCAAGTCAACCCTCAACCACATATACAAATGACCAAGTAGGAAAATATATTAAAAAGGGGAATTAACTAAATACCACTGGACCAATTATACAATTTATTATTGAACATGTAAATTAAAATCAAAATTGAACATATATCTTACTCTATTATCCCTAAAGAGGCAAAATAGATATCTACTGAGGACAAATCTGGAGGAAAAAACTCCAGATTTCTTGCTCCTGCCATTGCATTGCTTTACAACATATCACTTGAACTCCAAACCTTTCCGGATATTCTAAAAAAAAAAAAAAAGCGAGAGTAACCTGGTAGGTAGCAAGTAGGGAGCCGGTCGGCCGAGCGGACAGCACACTGAGCTTGTGATCCTGTGGTCCTGGGTTCGACCCCAGGCGCCGGCGAGAAATAATGGGCAAAGTTTCTTTCACCCTATGCCCCTGTTACCTAGCAGTAAAATAGGTACTTGGGTGTTAGTCAGCTGTCACGGGCTACTTTCTGGGGGTGGAGGCCTGGTCGAGGACCGGGCCGCGGGGGCACTAAAAAGCCCCGAAATCATCAAGATAATCTCAAGGTAACCTTCAGTCCATAAATTTGGTGATCTCACTGATGTAAACATTTTCAGACTTATATCAAGTCTGCCAACCATGTCAAAAATATCGGAAAACCTATTCTACATGCAGCTTTACTCTTACCTAACCAAACACGATATACTTAGCTCTTGCCAATATGGCTTCAGACCCAAAAGAAGCACTAACGATGCACTGATTAGTATGATTAACTTCATACATGCAGCTCTTGATAAAAATAAGTCCCCTGTTCGGTTATTTGTTGACCTACGTAAGGATCCAAAACCTTCTTAAATTACATCATTATTGAGTCAGAGGTCACTCCCTCCAAAACCTTCAGTCTTACCTTAGTGACAGGCTCCAGTATATTTCTGTGAATATTTCCATTGCTCCCACTCTACCCATCAAAATTGGGTGTTCCACAGGGCAGCATACTTGGCCCTCTCCTTTTGCTCATCTTCTTTAATGACCTTCCAAATGTCTCTCAACACGTCAACCCAATTTTATTTGCTGACGAAACAACTTTCATTTTCTCTAGTCCTAACCTTCTTTCTTACTCTGAATGATAGTGAATTCTGAACTAAATAAAGTCCATCTTTGGCAACCTGCTAACAAGCTCACCCTTAACATTCACAAAATCTTTTATATTTTATTTGGTAATAAATCCTCAGATCAATTTAATCTACGAATAAACAATATCCAAATTAGTAACAAAATAGATGGTATTCTTGGTGTTGGTGTTCTCATCGATAATAAGCTTAATTTCCAGGGCCACATTCAAAATATTGCAAAAAAAAATCTAAAACTGTTGACATTCTTTCAAAGATCAAATATTATGAACGTCCAGCCCTGGTGACGCTCTATTACTCTCTCATCTATCCTTATCTGAATTATGATATTTGTGCTTGGGGTTCTACAACCCAAAATCTTCTACGTCTTCTAATTAGTCAACACAAAGCTGCTATTAGAACAATATCAGTCTCTGGCCCCTGACAGATCTTGGTACCTTTACTTAAGTCTTTGAATGTGTTAGATATTAAGTCACTACACATCCTCTCAAGTGTATTCTATATATTTAAACTCTGAACTGTAATGCCAATCCTGACCTTAAACGCTTCCTAGAAGGTTGTAACAGAACCCATGGGCACCACACCAGACACAAATACCTGTTTGATATTCCAAGAGTGCGACCTAACAAAACTAGAAATGCTCTAGAAATCAAGGGACCCAAAATGTGGAGTGACCTTCCCAATCATGGAAAAAGGTTGTATCTCTCAATCAGTTTAAGAGCAAAAACGAAGTACTACCTAATAAACTCCATGTAACCTACCATACCCCTCCCCCCCACCCTAAATGACTTAACAAGTCATCCCATGTCTTGCTATTTTCAAACAATACAGTTTTGTTAACCAACTTGTAAAACTGCTGGTGATTTCCGCCATTTTATTTTTTTGTTGATTTGATTTGATTTTGATACCCATCAAACAGGTGGTAGCGGATCCAATACCCAGCCTGCGGGCAGTAGGTTGGGTATTGGGTCCACTACCACAGATTCTATTTGGTCTGAGGTAATCACCACAGATTTTCAAAGGAATTGACAGGGTAAATCAAGACAGGCTATTTAATACAAGGTACACACGCACTAGGGGACGCAGGTGGAAATTGGGTGCCCAAATGAGCCACAGAGATATTAGAAACAACTTTTACTCCATACACTGTTTGAAATGCAGATATGATAGAGCCCAATAGACTCAGGAACCTGTGCATCAGTTGAGAGGCGGGACCAAAGAGCCAACGCTCAACCCCCGCAAGCACAACTAGGTGAATACAACCAGCTGAGTACACACATTATTTCTTATACTGTATAAACAAATGAGTCGCTTCCCATTCTCCTAAGAGGATATATCGACTGAAGACAAAACTAGGAAGAAATCCTTTTAATTCAGGAAAATTTTAAGAGTTACATTCATATGGTCCCTCATAAGTCATTGTAAGGCCTATTGCAATGTTCTAATGCTTGTTGCAGTGTTCTCATGCCTATTGTGGGAAAACTTGACTCAAGTACATCATTTAAATTGATACTATTTGATAACTTACGAAGGACCACCACTTTTTTAGACAGTAGAATAGAGAGTAGAGCAAATGGTTTGATATTTTACTACAGGAACTAGAGTCCTATGGATGTTTTAATTAATATTACATTGAATATTCAAGGGGTCTGTATTTTATGAATCAAATCTTCTCACCTGAAATGGGAGGTTACATGCAAAAAGATTAATATATCCCAAGCATGATTCTGGCGCTGGTTCTTTGCCAGATTAATATGTAAGTAAATGAAATTGATTATATAAGCATAATTAGAGGGAAATGTACCTCAAAATACTACAATAATAAGGCCATGTATATGGTCAAATAAATGGGTTAGTATAATTGATCTCATTAGATCATTAAAGTATCTACATTGGTTATTTCTCTACAATAACAATTAACAGCTTAGCTATGAAATTAAGAGAGATGAAATCGGTTGCCACACTCCACTGACGACGTGTTGCGTCTGACAAATTGTTGCACGTGAAGGTGGGGAAGCCTAGCACCTCGCTTGACGTGGCCTCGGGAGCTGGAAGGCAATTACAATGTAAAACTCTTCTACGTAACTAATTACAGATACATTTAATACGGAATTCTTCCTAAATATCTGTCACTGCAGAATTCTTCTGCAGAAATGAATAAACTATAAATTCCTATATAAATTACGGAATATTGCAAGAGAGGAGACCGTAAATAGACCTGAACTAACTATTGGTTTCAGGGTCTTCATGCCACTTGATGACGAGTAACCTACCAGTTTGTTACGTATGCATACTTTGTCAAACCTTAATAGGACGTTACTACATTAAACTCCTAGACAAAACTTTATCAGCTGGATCTGCAGGTGATCTCTCTCACGCTGCTAATATGGCGTCCTCCACGCAAGTGGACTCTCCTTCCTCCCTGGCTGCGATACGCATGCGCGGAACACTCAAAGTGATCTCGAGCTTAAAGTATTTTATTTACTTATTATTAATCAGGGAAGTGAAGACTTGTGACTGATATTTATATCACTTATATTTATACTAAGGCGCAATATAATTTTTGCATAGTGCGATTTAGCTTACTAAGACTGCACAAAATAAATGAAAGGAATATTATATATTGTTTTATACTATAATAATTTCCACTGTAGTTATTAATACACCTAAATTAACGAATTCAGTAAGCAATAATATGCTATGTAAATAATCAACTAAATAAACGATGATCCTTAGTAAAGGAATGTAACTAACTAAACTCTGTTTAGATGCAACTAAATGTGGAGAGAATTCATGTTTTAGCCTGTCGATACCTCCCGGCGTCATTCTGACTGTAGGAAGAATTTGGCAAATATTGCTTCGTAATAGAAACATTCATTGAATTAGTTCTACAAATTAGTAGGTTTAGTAATCACTACGATTAATACAATGATGTATTATAATACAAGATATGATGTATTAGTGTTGGAAAATTTCCAACACCTATTGCAGTGTTCTCATGCATACTGCAATGCTCCTGTGTTTTAAACTACTGGGCATCATTCAGCAAGACGACAATCACCAACATATGCATGTCGTGCCTAACTATCAGTTCCTTAGCAATTCGAAAGTTACAAACATGCGAATCACGTGCAAATATGATTGGTTTCCCAACAGGACAGTCAGACTTGATTGATTCAATAACATGACACTCATTAACTACCATCGTTATTATATAACCACCACCTAACATGACACGAGCCATAATTCTAGGTAAAAGTTGTGTTTGACTCCATTCCTTCCCTCCGTCCCATCCCAAATTCCATATTCTGTTCCCTTTAATGTACAATATAGACGTAATGACTTGGGGTTTTCCCCTGATAGTTCACTTCCCCTTGAACTTTGCCTTGACCTTCGCCTCAGACAGCTTAAGGAAGACGTCTTGAAGGTACTTGTCCCAGCTCTAGTAAGGAACCGGCAGCCTTCAAGTGCCCGTCAATGACATCTTCCCTAAACTCTAAACCAAAAGTCAGACCAAAGTTTGAGGGGAATAATTGTCATTTTAAATGCGTCGGAGGCATAAGGAGTTAGTTAATAACACTAACAATGGATAAAAAAAATTACATAGTGCAATTAGTTAATCTCACCATTTGTTTCTGGAGAGCAGAATAGTTGTCTTTTCTATTCCTGTGGTCGTCTCGCACAACTGGACGGTTGAAGAAAACCACAGTAACGACCACTATCGCTGTCAGGAGCGCTAAGGCCTTAGGAACCGTCCTCATCTTGTCGACCAGATCTTTAGGAGAGAGAGAGAGAGAGAGACGGGGATGTATGATAAAGTAGGCAATGAGAAAGTAACGCAGGAAGTTACAGTACTCGTAATTCTGTGGCCCAGGTTCGATTCCCGGACCAGGCAAAAACAAATGGGCAAAGTTTCTTTCACCCTGATGCACCTGTTACCTAGCAGTAAATAGGTACCAGGGAGTTAGCCAGCTGTTATGGAGCTTCTCCCTGGGTGTGTATTTGTGTGTGGGTGGGAAAAAAAATTAGTAGTTACAGTTTATTGATTGACAGTTGAGAGGCGGGCCAAAAGAGCACAGCTCAACCCCCGCAAGAACAACTACGTCAATACATACACACACACACACACACACACACACACACACACACACACACACACACACACACACACACACACACACACACACACACACACACACACACACACACACACACACACACACACACACACAGGAAGCCTCCCGTAGCAGCTGTCTAACTCCTAGGTACGTATTTACTGCTACTGAACAGACGAATCAGAGTAAAAGAAACTCTGCCCATTTGTTTCCTCCTCCGCCGGGGATCGAACACGGACCCTTAGGACTACGAATCCCGAGCGCTGTCCTCTCAGCCGTCAGGCCTTGTGGGGGACCCGATGTGATCTTGGTGACCTGGATCTAGTCTGAAGTGTGAGAGTATAATATGGGAGACTAACCAAGTGTAGAGAGTTGTAGTGATGATTCGGGGTTAGAGACATAGGCTGGGGATGAGTTGTTGAGAGTGACCAGTTTGGTCCGGTCCAGTACTGGTAAGGGCAGCCAAATTACACAAGTGGGATTTGATAAAAATTGTAACTATTGCATTCATAATAGCATTCTATTTCATATATAATTATATTAGACAACCCGACGTCCTTTATTCACCCTTCCTCATATTCTCTCAAGTGGGTTCCTGGGCGAAGCTTTTTCTACGCCTTAAGAAATTAAGGGTAGACATAGAGATTATGGTAGATGAACTGTGTAAGAGAAGTATATGGTAACAGGATTCATAAGATTAGTATCACAAAATAACTATACCAATCCACTTTTAACAACATCTGCTCCTCACTCACCACCACAACTACCACCAACCACAAATATCACCCACCACAAATACCACCCCACCACAAATATCACCCCACCACAAATATCACCCCACCACAAATATCACCCCACCACAAATATCACCCCACCACAAATATCACCCCACCACAAATATCACCCCACCACAAATATCACCCCACCACAAATATCCACCAACCACAATATCACCCCACCACAAATATCACCCCACCACAAATATCACCCCACCACAAATATCACCCACCACAAATATCACCCACCACAAATATCACCCCACCACAAATATCACCCCACCACAAATATCACCCCACCACAAATATCACCCCACCACAAATATCACCCCACCACAAATATCACCCCACCACAAATATCACCCCACCACAAATATCACCCCACCACAAATATCACCCACCACAAATAACACCCCCCCCCCCCACAACTACTACCAACTACAGCTAACACCTACCACACATACCACCCAGCATAACTACCACTCACCATAACAACTACCAACCACAGCTACCACCATCTGAATATCACCATTATCAGTCCAAACCTATATTCTTTCTCCTTGGACTAGTCGGTACAACGAGAGTGTCGTATCTTGGAGGTCCAAGTTCAATCCCTGATGGCCATATTGTTAGGTACCGTTCCATCCCTCCGTCCACATATTGCAGGGGCTAAATCCATATATCCCTTTCCAGTGCTGTATAGTCATGCTGGTTAACCTTTCTTCTAATTATCATTTTAATAACCCCTCCCCCACCTCTCGCAACTACCATCTCAACACCCAGTCCTCACAAACATCAAACAAAATGTGTACCAACGTACTATACCGCTGGTGAGATCGCTGTGGAAGCTGTTAGACACGAGGACGTTTGGCTTCTGACTGGATGGCTGGTGGTGGTGCTCTCCTGCTGGTAAGGGGAGCGCTCACTCCTCACAGGTGTTCATAATTGTAGGGTTTCCGTATGTGTCCCAGATGCGTCTGTTGTTGATAAGCCAAAATGCTGAGCCAGATCATCGCATACTTTCCACACCACACCACCATCATTGCAGTATATTTCAAGGTTGTGTGTGTGTGTGTGTGAAAGGGGGGGGGGATGTGAGTGTTGTGTTGATGTACTCACCTAGTTGTGCTTGCGGAGAAGGGTCGATCTTTGGCTCTTTGGTCCCGCGTCTCATCCTACTGATGTAGAGATTCCTGGGCTTCTCAGGCTCCATCATATCTACATTTGAAACTGTATATGGAGTCAGCCTCCATACACTTCCAAGTGCAATCTATTTACTAACTAACACTGTAGTTTTAAAGTCTTTGTGATTTGGGTACTCAGCCTCCACCTGTGTCCCCTTGTGTGTGTACCACCCGTGTTAAATCATCCATCCTTGTCTACCCTGTCAATTCCCCTGAGAATTTTGTATGTGGTAATCATGTCTCCCCGGGCTCTTGTGTATTCCAGCGACGTGAGGTGAAGTTCCCTCAGCCATTCCTCGTAACTCATGGCTATTAGTTCTGGGACTAGCCTAGTGGCATACCTCTGAACTTTTTCCAGCATCGTCTTGTGCTTGACAAAGTACGGGCTCCATGCTGGGGCCGCATACTCCAGGATTGGTCTTACATATGTGGTAAACAAAGTTCTGAAAGATTCCTTACACAGGTTCTTGAAGGCAGTTCTGATGTTAGACAGCCTCACATACACCGCCGATGTGGGCTAATCTTATGACCTTTCGATGTGGGCTTCAGGAGACAGGTTTGGCGTGATATAAATTATTAGATTTCTCTCTGTCAGTTTCGTGAAGGACTTCATCGCCCATTCTGTATCCAGTGTCTGGCCTCCTATTTCCTACCCCTAGTTTTATTACCGTACATTTACTTGGGAGCCGGTCAGCCGAGCGGACAGCACGCGGGACTTGTGATCCTGTGGTCCTGGGTTCGATCCCAGGCGCCGGCGAGAAACAATGGGCAGAGTTTCTTTCACCCTATGCCCCTGTTACCTAGCAGTAAAATAGGTACCTGGGTGTTAGCCAGCTGTCACGGGCTGCTTCCTGGGGGTGGAGGCCTGGTCGAGGACCGGGCCGCGGGGACACTAAAAAGCCCCGAAATCATCTCAAGATAACCTCAAGATGGGTTGAACTTTAGTAGCCAATTGTTTGACCATTTGTTACGGCCCTCTCGGGACGCAACGGGGTTCTTACTCTGATGTCGTTAGAGGAAGATATATATCCGACCCCAAGCCAGTAGAGGCTTTCAAGGGATGCGATCCGTGACGCAAGTAACTTAAAGGGAGTAGGGAAAGAAAGCTAAGAACTTAATATAATATAATGTTCACCTTCACCGTTTAATATATATAATAAAAGAGTACACAAGGGGGAGGGGTATTAACACTTTACAAAGGGGATCAACACTGTAGTCTTCTGCTGGAGACTATGGATCCTCGAAGCTAGGTGTTGAGTCCGCGGTGCTTTCTTCGTGGCCTCAAGACGTGTCCTCTGAGAACGCCGAGTCTACCCTGGCCACAGGTCAGCCACAACACAGGTCCACTGGGGGCACCGTCGTGGAGGCCGTCAACCACACGTCCAGCAGGTCTGCTGGCAGGTACTGAGCCACCAAGGCTGGCACGGCCACTCCACGAACGATAAAAGGGGTACGCCCTAGACAGGAGTCTCGTGTGATATCACCAATCACCCTCCTGTCCTCGATACCCCAGTGGATTATCGTCTCCAACCGTCGGTCCCGGGTAAATCCTTCCACTGCCACTCCACTGGCAGGCTTAACACACCACAGTGTTCTTCCGGGGGGACGACGTCACAACAGCTGCAGCAAACTGGACAGTATGGAGACTGGCTGCCTCGGGTAGACTGACTCCACCTTCAACACAGTGGTCCCAGGTCGGCTCTGTAAGCAGACACGTCATCAATAACAGAGACACTAAAACACCACACTTACTGCCTCAGATACAAACGCCCGACATATCCACTCCATAGATGGCGCTGTCGTCGGAGCACCACCTCACCAGAGGTCAGGAGCGGCGGTGTTGAGCGCTGAACCAGACTGGAAACTGGTCCTCGAGGCCAGTACACGCTGTCCTCACTAGGTGTCGTCGTTTGTTTGGCGGGGGTTTCGGGAGCTGACCCACAGATGGCGTGTTTGTCACTGCTCCAGGCACGGACGCTGGATCCGGGTTCGTAACACCATTCCTTCAGTTTGTCTTGCTCATTTTATAGCCTCATACTATCTTTCTCTGTCTTAATCCTCTTCATAATTTTTGCATCACCAGCAAACATTGAGAGGAATGAGTCTATACCCTCTGGAAGATCGTTTGCATATAAACTATTGGAAACAGGATGGGTCCAAATACAGAGCCCTGGTAGACTACACTGGTGACATCTCGCCACTCTGATGTCTCCCCCTCACAGTTATTCGCTGTTTCCAGTTGCTTAGATACTCCTTTATCCACTGGAGCACCTTGCCTTTTACTCTTGCCTGTTGCTCCAACATTTGTAACAGCCTTTTATGGGGTACTGAGTCAAAGGCTTTCTAACAATACAAGAAAATGCAGTCTATCTACCCTTCTCTTTCTTACCGAATTTGTGTTGCATGGTCATAGAATTGTATTAAACCTGTGAGGCACGATTTACCATCTCTGAACCCATGCTGGTGGTATGCTACAAAACTATGTCCCTCCAGATGCTCTGAGCCTTTTTCTCACGATCCTCTCCATCACCTTGCATGGTATACAAGTTAAGGAAACTGGCCTGTAGTTCAGTGCCTCTTGTCTGTCACCCTTTTTGTATATTGGGACCATATTAGCCATCTTCCATATTTCTGGTAGGTCTCCCATCTCCAGTGACCTACTACACACTATGGAGACTGGCAAGCAAAGTGCCACTGCACACTCATACAACACCCATGGTGAGACTCCGTCTTGACCAACAGCCTTTTTCACATCCAGATCTGTCTCTTGACTTCATCTCTTGAAATTTCGAACCCTCCCAAGGCCGCCAGGTTTACTGCCACTTCTCCTAGCGCAGTGACCTCACCTTGTTCTGTTGTGAAGAACTCCTGAATCCTCTTGTTGAGTTATTCACACACCTCTTTGTCATTCACTGTATCCATGTCCTCACCCATTCTATGTTTCGTCACCAATTCTTTCAATGTTGATTTCCTCCTGATGTGACTGTGGAGTAGCTTTGGTTCGGTCTTGGCTTTTATTAGCTATATCATTTTCGTCATTTTACTCTGCTTCTCTTCTCACACTGACATACTCATTCTTAGCTCTCTGGTATATCTCTCTGCTTTCTGGTGTTCTGTTATATCGAAAGTACCTCCACGCCATTTTGTTCAGTTCCTTTGCGTTCATACATGCCCTATTAAACCATGGATTCTTATTTTGCTTCTCGGATTTTTCCTTTTGGGCCGGGATAAACTTGCTTACTGCCTCCTAACACTTTTGGGTGACATAGTCCATCATGTCTTGTACAGACGTAGCTCTGAGTTCTGTGTCCCATAGTATAACCCTTAGGAAACTTCTCATCTCATAATTCCCCTTTCGGTACGCCAGCCTTCGGTTTCCTATTTCTTTTTGGGGGGAGATAAATCTTAGCTCTACCAGATACTCAAAGATCACTACACTGTGTTCACGTGTGTGTGTGTGTGTGTGTGTTGGGTGGATGTGTGTTTTGGGTGGATGTATTCACCTAGTTATATGTACGTAGTTGTGCTTGCAGGAGTTGAGCACTGCTTTTTCGGCCCGCCTCTCAACCGTCTATGAATCGGCAATCATTTTTTCACACACACACACACACACACACACACACACACACACACACACACACACACACACACACACACACACACACACACACACACACACACACTCACTCTCACACTCACACTCACGCATTAAGCTGCTCGTAGCAGATGTCTAGCTCCCAGGTACCTATTTACTGCTAGGTAACAGGGGTATCAGGGTGAAAGAAACTCTTCCCATTTGTTTTCCGCCATCGCCTGGGATCCAACCCCGGTCTCCAGGATTACGAGTCCTGAGTGCTCTCCACTCAGCCACCAGGCACCCTTAATATATATGTGTGTGTGTGTGTATTCACCCAGTTGTACTCACCTAGTTGTGCTTGCGGGGGGGCTGAGCTTTGGCTCTTTGGTCCCGCCTCTCAACCATCAATCAACTGGAGAGTGTGTGCGCGCGCGCGTGTGCGTGTGTTGGGTGAATGTGTGTGTGTGTGTATTCACCTATTTGTACTAACGTATTTGTGCCTTCAGGATCAAGCATTGACTCTTAGATCCCGCCTTTCTAGCCATCGGTTGTTTACAGCAATGACTCCTGTCATAATTCCCAATCATTTCTAGTTTTAAAATTATGAATAGAGTTTGCTTCCACAACCTGCTCCTTAAGTGCATTCCATTTTTCCACTACTCTCACACTACAAGAAAATTTCCTAACATCTGTGACTCATCTGAGTTTCCAGCTTCCGCCCATGTCTTCTCGTTCTGTTAGTATTAAATGTGAACACTTTGTTTATTTCCATTCTGTCAATTCCCGAGAGTATTTTATACCTTCCTATCATTTTACCCCCCCCCCCCCTTCTTCTTGTTTCTAGTGTCTTCAGGTTCACTTCTTTCAGACGCTCTTTATATCCCATCCCTTGTAACTCTGGGACGAGCCTCGTTGCAATCTTTTGAAACTTTTTCTAGTTTCCTTCTGTGTTTCTTCGGGTGGGGGCTCCATGATGGCGCGGCATACTCTAAGACTGGTCATACGTAGGCAGTGTAAGGCGCCCTAAATGCCTCCTTACTTAGGTTTCTATATGATGTTCTAACTTTTGCCGGTGTAGAGTATGCTGCTGTCGTTATCTTGTATATATGTGCTCGGTTATCCTGGTTATGTGTGCGTACGTGT